ATTACCCTCCCTGGTTGTGTGATCGCTATATCCCATTGTATGCTGCCATGTAGTATCAGGAAAACTGAAAATTCTATACTTACCCATCTGTAATTTTCCTTTCCGGGCACCACCAATACATGGCAGCATACAGGACCCTCCCATGGCTTTCGCCTTTAGTACTTGTTACATACCTTTCTCCGTTCTGCCCTAACATTGACTAGTCGCTGAGGGCCACAATTCACATGTTCAGACCCAGGTTTTCGGCTGACAGTCCAGTCTTTAAACACTTTAACAACAGCTGCTCTTGAACATTTAACGAATTCTGCTGTTTTGCTGATACTCGCTCCAAGCTCCAACAATCATCTCACGTTCAAAGGCTGTTAAATCGTGTTGTTTCCCCGTATCTTCAGAAACAAATCACTTCTACTGTCGTGGTAAACAACCTGCTTCCCTATTTATAATGGTCTGGCCCTCTAGCAACTTCATCGCGCAATTATAGCTAATTTGCCTACAAACGTCAGGTGGTCATAATAATCTGACTACTCGGTGTGTGTGTGTGTGTATATATTCACACACACTAGAATTTGTTGCTTTTCTTCATTATTTTTGTTCCTGTAGATGAGGCTGGGCTGAAGTGGCAAATCATCGCTGATCACAAGAAAAATATTTTTGCATATGACACAAACTGCACAATACAAATTCTTCATGTGACTTTAAAAATGAAAATTATGTAGTGTGTTTTATATATATTTTCTACATTTATTTTCAGTATTAAAACAATACATTTAAGTCTTCTAAATGGCATGTTGTAGATGAATATTTTATAATTTACCACTTGCAGCGAATAATTGATTTGGAGGTGTGCTTTGGGTTAGGTCAAATTTCTCTTCATCTTCAACCTGTAGGTTTTAGGCCAAAATTGATTGAGATTTGGGACTGTTCCAGAAAAAACAGCCCCAAAGCATAACGCTGCCACCATCATGCTTTACTGTGGGTATGGAGTTCTTTTGGTGATGCACAATGTACTTTGTGGAATTATGCCCAAAAAGTTTAAGCTTCATTTCCTCAGACCCTAACACATTTTCTCACATGCTTCTGTCAGACTTGATGTAGGTTTTTGCAAAACCTAGTTGGACTTAATTGTATTTCTTAGTAAGAAAAGGCTTCTGTTTTTCCACCCTATCTCACAGCCCAGACATAGGAACAATATGGGAGATAGTTGTCACATGTAGTACACAACCAGTGTTTACCAGAAATTCCTGCAACTCCTTTGATGTTGCTGTAGGCCTCTTAGCAGCGTCCGGGACCAATTTTCTTTATTGGTTTCTTTAATTTTGGAGGTATGTTTAGTAGGGCTGCAACTAATGATTATTTTCATAATCGAGAAGCTGGCCAATTATGTTTTAGATTATTCGGATTAAAAGATTTTTATTTAAATTTTGAATGTTTTATTATTATTTAGTTAATTAATGTTAGTTATTTACTTAACTATTAGAAATGTAATTAACTGTTATTTAATTATTAAATGTGGATTCATCATTAAATATTTAGTGGACATAATTTCCATTCTTTTTGCATAGCTCTCATCCCTGGCATGTCACAGAAAGAACTTGTGCGGGAAGGAAAACATTACCAAACATACTCCTCTCACCAGATGCTTTTGTCTGGGGGAATCCAATTAGCTGCACGATTGAATCCGCATCTTGACGCACCAATTCATACGTACGAGCTGATTGGCTAGAGCTGGGCCAAATTCTCAGCACAGGAGAGGATATTGCTAGACACACTGCACTCAAAGCTGTGCATGCAGTGTGTCATGGGCTTCGCAGGCTTAATTAAGTTTGTGACTGACTGGCGCCTCCGCCCATCTTTGTGCCGGTTGTTATGCCACTGGCTCCACTCACTGCGTGCGCACACAACAGATAGACCATTTCTAAACAAACTGTTCATTGAGTGGGTAACTTTTGAGGAGAGAGGAGCTATTCAGTGTGCTAGCAGCCCTCATACAGAAACCAGAGGGTGATGGGGAAAAGTCTTGGAAGCCTTAGGGGCTTTAAAAAAACCAAAGGCCAGGGACTGAGCTAGTAATAACAGCAGGCTTATCCTTCAGCTTCAGTGCTGTGGGGACTGTATCAATGAAGAAGAGCTCCTCACTCAAAAACAGCACGAACTCCAGAGACACATAGCTCAGATCTGATCAGCGGTGCGCTGACTAGCAGGCAGGGTTACAAAAAGGTCAAATGTAGGAGTGTGCTGGGAAGACATGGTAGCTCGTCTTGTCATGGATATTTTGGTTGGACTTTGCGCACAAATCTCCGGTGCACTAAAAAGGTACACGTTCGGTATTAAAATGCGCCCAGCACAAACAATCCCGTCGCGCTTAAAAGCGCGCTGCATTCAGTTCTTTCTGTATAAGGGATGAAGTACTTCTTTAGCGCTAGAATAAAAACCCGCACACTACTATGCCGGTTTTTTACACTGAACGCAATAAACTCTGTGACAGCTTTACAGCTGTATGTCCCGGCCGATGTGCGGGCATCATAGGCATCAACCGCCGCCCCCTCCGCCGATTCCCCCGAGTAGCGGCCGCCGCTGCTGCAGGCACAATCCCCTGTCAGCTTGGCTCTGCCGCTGAGGAGAGGATTCGCCGTACAGGCTCTTATGTTCCTCCGCCCACCTCTGCTGCTATTAGCTGGGAGGGAGAGTGCAGCACCGTCATTGGCTGCCTGGGTATTTGTCAGCAGAGCGGGAAGGGACCTGCAGACTGCAGTGGAGGCACAACAAGGCTGCTTGGGGCTGCACATGGATGGAGGAGACATTGATGCTCCCCCCTCCCCCACCTGGAGAGGAAGAGGGCATGCCACATCAAGAGGACAGAGCACATCACCACTGTAAGTCCCTTTTCTATTCTACACCACTGACCTTCCCACTGCGTCACCTTACTGACTTCCGTGCACTGCGTCACCTTACTGACTTCCGTGCACTGCGTCACCTTACTGACTTTCTGGCAGTGCCCCTCCCGAGACTAGACTCTGGATCCGCCCCTGCTATGGTCAGGGTCAGAAACCAGCTAGGCAATCTGAGATAAATCCCTGTATAACTAAAGGAAAATACATTTTCTGCTGAAAGGGGCAAAGATCTAGAAATGCCTGAAGGAGCAGGGAAGAACACTCTGATGATGAAGGGGCTAACACAAACAGCTGGGGGTAACAGAATTCACAATTAAGGTGTGCCGCATGCAGAACTGGATCTATTAGTAGACTATGCACTGCAGTCACTTGTGACCATAACCCCCACCACCCCTTACCATGCATAGGATTAGACCTGTAGCAGCCACAATGGTGGTTGGCAATTTACAGGCTCATGGAAGAAGGCAGGGCATCAATTATGGAACCTAGGCAGCCGTCAGCAAAGATTGGAGGGTCGAAGAGCCAAAGATTACCAAGCTTCAATGCAGGTGGGCAGCAGAAATGAGTCAAAGATCTGTGTTCCATATGGTTCTGTATAAGGAGCAACAGCAGGGAGATGCTTCCTCAACACTGCCTGGCAAGAAAAGAGACTGCAGAGTTTGTGCGCCCCTACAACATTTCACCCAGGGGAATGGCATCTGCACTTTGCACACAGCATTCTCTCTCTCTGCCCCAAGGCAGGTGTAACAGGGGAACAGTGTTTGGTGCCCAAGCAACTAAAGAGGAAACTCCCAAAGTACCTGGTCTGAATTAGCCTACTCACATGAGACGGTCTTCAAAGACAGCAATACCACAGCACTGGACCAAAAATGTGCTCTGCAGTTAACAAATCAGATCTGAGTCTGGAACGCAGTGCCAGAGCCTAGTGCCCGCAGGTTACTTCCAGGCTCATCCTGTGAAGGTCGAGTCTCTGTTAGGTCTGACGGACTAAGCTGTGAGGGAAGGTGGGGAATCCAGTTTTTAGAATTTTGATTGAAAAACAGTTAAAGCTTTTTTTTAAGCAGAGCTGAAGAATATATATTTTTTTTTTTTTAATTTATGTATTTTTTAAATATTATTTATGCTTTTAAAGTAGGCATTTATTAAGCCTCTGTACTGAGAAACTCAGAAGGTTATATACAAAAAAGTTATTTGTTTTCTCTACTAATAATGAATGCAACAGTTGTTCAAAGATCAAAATGTATACGTAGCCAAACAAAGGGTAGGGAAGGGTAAAAACCAGAGATGCACTGAAATAAAATGTTTAGAGTGAAACCGAAATGTCAAAATTTGTCAGAACTGTTCACACCAATGTTAGAGCAGTACATGAAGGGATCAGCCAATATTTCACATACTGCTCTGCATCCTGAACCGTTCCCCCCCCTGCTGCAGCTCTCCTCCTGCAGATGCAGTCACTTCTGACAGTTTCTCTCCTCCCCACTCGGCACCGACAGCTGGAATGGCTCTGTGTCCCCCCCACACCTCTGCTGACACAGGCGGGGAGAGCAGTGGGGATACAGACCGAAGTTTGCAGCTGACGCCCAGAAGGGAGGAGAGAAACCTTTTTTTTAACGATTCGGCATTTTGCCCATAGTACCATTGGCAGCAGCTGAAATTTCGGAGCATCCCTAGTTAAAACCCATTGGGTTATTTTTGCTGTCTATTGGGAAACATTTCCTTAATTTCCTGCCCCAGAGACGCAACAAGAAGTTAAAAGAAATGTTCCAAAGTTAGAGGAAATCCGCTCTTGGTTGTCCCCTGAACAGATGCCCCCTTGCCTCTTATTGTGGGAACAACCAAAATGTTTGATTTATTAAGACTTTCTTTGTACAGGTGACAATGGTCACCTGTACAAATAGAGAGGGGTAAATCTCCCCAATGACAACAAAAACAGCCAAAAAAATTCTGATCATCTAACCACATGCTATCAAAAATGTAACCACATGCTATCAAAAAAAAAGTTTTTCCTTGAGCTACACTTTAGTTGTGCATACAATTTGATGTAGAACAAATATTTCACAATACAAAACAGGTAAAAAAAAAATTTAAAAAAAAAGAAGGAAGAAGGGGTCAGTTTCCTTTAAAGAGTGGAAGAACAGTTTCATCCCAGGTTTCATCCCAACGTATTTGTTTAGATTCACGGAGATTTTGTCGAAACGGCTTTAGTTTATTTGAGTCACTTGTAAAATTAGTGAATAACATCTGTAAAAAACCAAACAAAAAATTAAAAAAAATAGGTGAGAAATAAGAAAACCCTCTTCCAATACAGTCAACCTATAAATTACAGTAGTAACAGTTATTAGGCCATGGGTTTGAGAGAAGGCATCAGTAATTGGCTTTCATATATTGACAACCTAAAAGGAGAAATGATGAGGAGTGGGGAAGAGAGTAAAATGTACACGCCCCATAGTGAATTTAGTCATGAGTGCTGTTCTGCTTGGGATGAACAGAAGCTGAGAGACAAATCAAGGTACATATAATATACCAACTAAATTTAAAATTAATTTAAATCCTACATTTGTTTTTTTAACCCCTTAATGACCAAGGCCTTTTTTTTTGCACCCATGTTATAATCCACATTTTAGGCCTGAAAATTACTTCAAACCCCCAAACATTATATATTTTCTGAAATCCAAGACCCTGTAGAACTCAATGGTGGCAGCTGCAAATTTTTATGTTGCATGATATTAGCGCAACGAATTTTTAAACCCAAAAAGTTTGTGAAAAATACACTGAAGTTAAATTTAGTGCCCCGAAACTCAATAAAATACAACTTTTTAAAATAAAATATAAAAGATGAGGTTACAATGAGTGAATAGATACCAAACATGCCCAGGTTAATAATTGTGTGCGTCTGTGGAACGGCGATACATTTCAGGACAGTACCCCAAAGAGTCCATAAAACAACACTTTAAAAGCCCCTACAGATCATTTAGTTTAGAGATGCACATAAATATTGGCCCTATAATTATTGCTCTCACGCTGGCGTGCGTGGCGATACCAAACATGTGTAGCACATTAGTCGTTTTCATATGTGGGCGCACCCGTGTTTACGTGAAGACTCGTATAAATTAACTCAATACTTATTAATTTTACATTTAGCATTTCCCCACCGCTGATCTCTCCTTTAGCTGTCATTTCTCTGGCTGCTAGCCAAAGAAGGAGCTGGTGAAGCAGATCTCTGCTTCATCAGCTTCTTTTTGGGGGGGGGGGGTCCCTAGGTGACATTAGGGGTCTTTGAGACAAGTCTCCAGTAAGTAACAAGCAGTTAGGAGTACACACCCAAACAGAGAGGGCGGGACCTGGTCCTTCAATGAACTGAGAGAAAAGGATTTTAAGGCGAGTACAAAAATCCTATTTTCTCTTCCGTTTATTGAAAAAGACACAGGAAACATATCTAGGATCATGTACCGTAGGGACGTCACAAAAGAGTACCAGGCAGAGGGGTGGGCAGAAAAAAACAATACCCCAACAGAAAACCCCATCAAAAGGCCGCCTGCAACACCTTGCACCCCAGACCAGCATCCGTAGATGCCAAAACATCCACCATATAGAACTTGGTCTTCTGTTCATACCTTTGCCAAGTAGCGGCCTTACAAACCTGAGAAACCGAGGCACCATGACGAAAGGCCCAAGATGCCCCAACAGCCCTTGTAAAATGGGCCTTAACAGAAAAAGGAGGCTCACGCCTCTTAATGGCATACACCTGAGAAATCGTGTTACGAATCCATCGAGAGATGGTGGCCGAGGATGTGGCCCGGCCCAACCCAACCAAGGACCATCCGCAACAACAAATAAGGAATCCGATTCACGGAAGGAAGATGTAGCATCCAAATAAACACGGAGAGTATGAACCACATCTAAACAGTGCAGCGTCCTCTCCTTTCTATGAACGGGCTTCAGACACAAGGAAGGCAAGACAATGTCCTCATTGAGATGAAAGGACGAAACTACTTAAGGTAAGAAGGACAACCGAGGATGTAGAACCACCTTGTCCCGATGAAGGACCATTAACGACGATTTGCAAGATAGAGCCGCCACCTCCGAAACACTGCAAACAGAGGTGATCGCTACCAAAAAAGGCCACCTTTTGAGACGAAGTCAGAAGCGGAATCTCTCTCAGAGCTTCGAGAGGAGATTCCTGCAAAGCCGAGAGAACCAAGTTCAGATCCCAAGGTGGCAACAGGGACCGAACAGGAGGAACAATACGAGTAACCCCCTGTACGAAGGGCAGGGGGTTAGAACAGCCAAGGCCGAAACCTGGCCCTTCCCCATACTCAAGGCCAAACCGTGATCCACACCACAATGCTAAAAAGGCAAAAATCCTGTTCATAGAGAACAAACGAGGAGGAAAACCACCCGACTCACAGCAGGCAAAATATGCCCTCCACGTGCGATAGTAGATCCTCCAAGACACAGCCTTGCAAGCTCTCAGCATTGTAGAAATAACCGCATCCGATACACGACGGTCCCTCAATACCTGGCTTTCAACAGCCACGCCGCCAAAGCCAGTGACTGTAAAGAAGGATGGCACACCGGACCCTGGGACAGAAGATCCGGATGAAGTGGCAGCCACCAGGGAACGCCCGTAAACAACCGAACCACATTTGCGCACCACGCCCTCCTTGGCCAATCTGGTGCCACGAGGATGACGGGAATGCCTTCGGCCGCTATCCTGTAGAAGACGCGACAAGAGGTATATCGGGGGGAATGCATAAATCAGACCGTAACGGTCCCACTGAGCCACCAGGGCATCCACCGCATCCGTCCAAGGATCCTGGGTCCAGGCTATGAACCAATCGACCTGCCGGTTGCCCGAAGACACCAGCTCCAGCACCCAGGTGTTCGAGACACGGGACAGCCAAAGCTCCGCAAAAAGTCAAAGATGGCCCCCCACCCTGGATTCCAGAGATGGGGGCAGACCTTTATGGGGAAAGGGGGCTTACCTGGAGGCTTGGAAGGCTTCGGTTGCCAGGGACGCTTGGCGGCCTGGGAAGGAGGCGGCTTGTTGAATTTTCCTCCCTTCAATCGAGGACGGAGGGGGGGGGCGAAAAAGTCGCTTGTGCGCAGAGAAAGAAGGACCGGGCTTTCGACGCTGGCCCCTAGGCTTTTTAGCCTGTGGCAGGAAAGTACTTTTACCACCCTTCAGATCCTTGATTATCTCATCCAGAGTCGCTCCAAACAAACGATCCCGGGTAAAGGGAAGTTCCGTCAGGGCATTCTTGGAGGTTGATCAGCTGACCAGCACTTGAGCCACAGAAGTCAGCGAAAAATAACCGTCGAACACCAACAGTTTGGACACCAGCGGCGCAGCATCCAGGGCCAAATTGCAGACATATTTCAGGCCCTGTACCAATTGTTCCGCTAGTTCAATGTAGGCGGGAGAAACATTCTCCTCAGCGAGACCCTGATGCAGCATCTTTGCTCATTCCGTCAGAGTCTGGGAGACCAGGGCCGAGGCCAACACCGGACGCATAAGAGTGCCGGAAACCAAATACATAGTATGCGAGACAGCCTCCGCCTTCCTATCCGTAGGATCCCGAAAGGAAGGAGAGTCCTTCACTGGGATAACAGTCGCCTTGTTGAGATGGGAGACCGGGGGATCCACCACAGGAGGGGACACCCACTTAGTTAGGAAGGACTCCTCTAACGGATAGCGTACCGAGAAGCGCTTAGGGACTGAGAAGGACTTGGTTGGCCGCTTCCACTCCTTATAGACGAATCCATCAAAAAAAGGGGATGTAGGGAAAAACCTTAGTGGAACGCCTGCTCTTATGCGTCCCAAACTGAACAGGTGGAAGCTCAGAGGAACTTGGAGCCTCCTCAATCTTAATAGTTTCCTGGACCGAGCGAATCAGCGCAGCGACTATCTCGCGCTCCTGAGCCATAAGGGAGGCGCCCGACTCATTGCCACTACCCAAATCGGGCTGGGGGGAATCACCCTGTTCAGGACTAACGGATGCCAGAGAAATTTCCCCTTCCTCTTCTGACTCCCCTGAAAGCACCAGGGAAGGTGATGGCAGAGTGCACTTCTTGGAGGACCTCTGCGTCAAGGCGCGTTCAGTACGCATCACAAACCCGTCCACAAAACCCCCCCCAAAGAACACGAGGGGGGCAAGGGAAACTGGGAAAGGGGCGCAATCGTACAGGCCGTGCAAAGAGGGCAATGGGCAGAAACCTCCAAAGAGAGACCGCAGCCCTCGCAGGGCACCGCTGACGGCTTGTTCCTGCAGTCCATGACCCAGGATCACAGACCACACTGCCCCCAGAGAGCCCACAGCAGGAAGGAAGAGACCCCAGGAGGTACTCACTGTCCCCAAAGGCCGTGTACGAGCTCCATCAGTCCTCTCCAGGCAGCCCCATGGCCAGTCACCAGATCTGTCTCCTCCTCAGCAGCAGCGTGTCCTCACAGCAGCGCTCCCCGACGAAAAGAACGCCTCAGCCGCTGGGCACGGAGCACACAGGGAAGTGACGTCGGAGAAAGGTCACAGCAGCCCATAACCAAGACGGCGGCCCTGGCATCAGACAAGGCGGGGGCTCAATTTGCGGCCGCCCAAGCACATGAGTCCGGCGGATCGGATTCTGGCGGCTGCGGCCCCCGAAACAGGACCAGTGCACAGAATCACCCCCCCAGGCCTCCACCAGCAATCGCCCAGTGGATCCACAGAACTCCTTCTTACAACAGGACAGGTGCGGCAATGAAGCAGCAGCCTTCAGTCTCACAGCATCCCAGGAGGGAGCAGATGGTGGGAAGGTAGGGGGGTGGAAAGGTAGGAGGGAGGGAAGGGAAACGAGACCCGCGGACCCCCACACCGGACACCAATGCCCCCGTAGGCATCTCCACCAAAGGATTGCCAGTTGAGGCAGACAGGAGGATCCCAAGTCCACCCACAACGTCCCCGGTCGATCCCTACATACATACCACTCATGAGGAGAGGGGGACACGTCCCGTTGAGCCACCACCATCATCTCCCACGCAGAATAGCAGTCAGGACGTGCAGGGACGGCGGAAGAATGCCTGCGACCGTAGTCGCGGCACCGCCAGTCTGTATGGAGTACTGTGACTAGGCGGCCGAGACCCCCAGTCACATGAACTCCACCAGGCGAACCCACATGCTACTCCGTCGAGACAGAGTGGTCACAGCTGACCCACCGTGGCAGAGTCTGCATGCGCTCGCCGGTCGCACAGGGGAGACTACAAGGATCTTCAACATCCAGCTTGTCGCCCTGATGACACTTGCTAGAAGATTCTGTGAAAAAAAACCCAGGAAAAGGGGGGGGTTAAACCTATTCTAAGTGTCAAAGACTTGCAGCAGCCAGGGAGCAAGAATACTGCAGTGTTTCAACACATTGGCTACCGCAAAGGTCAGTATATAACCTCTTCTTTACAGGCTTTTGACTTATAGGGAGACATTGGCCTCAAAAAAAAAAAGTGTGAGCACATCGTTCCATCTAAGAGAAATCTCACTGTAATGTTTCAACATTTTCATGTGTCACAGGCACTGCTGATTATAATAAATCCATGGTGAAATTTACAAACAGTCTAAGCATAATAACACTGCTCCCAAACTACCCTTAGGCTGGGTTCACACCTGGGCGTTTTTCAGTGCTGATCGAAGCGCTGAAAAACACTCAAGAAGTGAAATCCTATGAATCCCTGTGGGCATGGTTCCCACCTGTGCGTATATCAGCTCGTTTTGTCGCGCTGAAAAACGCCCTACGCGCGAAAAAGTACTTAAGTTTCTTTTTCGTGCGTAGGGGCAGATTTCAGCGCGTATCTATTGCTATTCCCGAGTGTGGCTCGGGGTTAACAAAGCGGTAACCTTGTCCGCGATCCCCGCTGTGTCCTCCTGCCGCTGCCGTCTTCCGGGTTCCATCCCTTACAAGCGTCTGCGTCGCAGGGTGGCGGAACCGGCGGTAGTGTTTAAAAGTTAAAAAAACACAGAAACAGATAGAGGAAAAAAAACGAGCGCCGAATGAGCGTTCATTGGAGAAAAAACATGCTTAAAAAACGCGCCTATAGGAACGCCCAGTTGCGAACCTAGCCTTAAGATATAGAAATATCCAGATTTGACATCACAAATAAAAATATTGTACATGCATTTGAGTCAAACTTAAAATGTGTGGTGTTTTTTTTCCCTTTACCTTTAACTGTTCAGCTAGTTCTTTATAATCTTCAAAAATCAGTCCATTTTCTTTGTGTTTTACAAGTTCATGTAAACTGTGAACAAAAATGATAAAAAACAAAAAAAGCTTATTTCGCAATGTTAAAATACTTTGATAAACTGTAAAGATTTAAGCTAGGTAAATAATTCAATAACCGTTACAGATAAATACAGCAGGGTGTATTTATTGTATATTACAGTGTTACCAAAATGTGTACTATGCTCTCAAACTTTGTAGTGTCTCAGTGTCACTGTTATAACCAAATACTACCTGGTTCTACCACCTACACTGCTGCGATAATACATCCACTGGATCCACATGCAATCCTATATAAACGGTTTTACCATTCTCCTTGATAAATCTGCCACTAGATTTTCATTTCAGTTCTGCACAGAAATCCTGAACTTGGCAGGGTCTGAACTGAAGACAAATAGCACTAGGGTTGCATGCTGCACACTATGAAAATGACTTTTAATTATATACAGTAGTTGTACATTAAAGCAGCTGCAGCAATACAATTAAATACAGTAGAAAATACATTTTTATGGTAACACAGCAATACTGAACTTTAACCTGCAGGAGGCTGCTAAGCATGATGTGGGAGCTTAAAGGAGAACTATGGGGTTAGGGCTTTTCCACATAGTTCTCCTTAGGGTAACAGGAGGACACAAACTAGCGTCCTCCCGTTACCCTAAGCTCAGTATACCGCGAGCTACAGCTCACGGTATACTGAGACGCCGCAGTATACCACGAGCTACAGCTCGCGGTATATACTGAGACGCCGCAGCTGAAGCGGATCCCGACAATTATGTCTGGATCCGCCCAGCTGCGTGAGTGACAGCTGGCTCTGCCTATCTAGAGGCAGAGCCAGCTGTACCCGCCCCCTCCCCCGTCTGTTCCGCCAGTCAGCGCTGGAGGATCGGAGCGGGGATGGGGGAATCCAGCCACTCCCCTGTCACGGCAGAGAGCCTCATTGTCCCAGGTCGGCTGGAACTATGAGGTGAATGAAAAGCACTCACCTCATAGTTCTCCTTTAACAGTACAGGGCCTAGAAGACAGAATTTTACCAGGCAACAGATAACAATGTTAGCAAGGGATTTGAGGGTTAAAAACTAGAGTGGATAGTCAGCCGACGCCAGAATATCAAAACAAGACAGGCACACAACAAAAGCACATAAGCACTGGTATGGAATCACAGTTTAGGAACAGAGACTTGTAGTCTGGGGAGGCTCTTGCCTTAGGCTCCATTCACACTTAGCGGAAAATCCCTCAATTTCCGCCGCAATATCGTGCATTTTTTGCTGCGCGATATTGCGAGAAGTCGCCAGACAATGATTTTCAATGGAGCTGTCTTAATGTGCAGCTCCATGTCGCCCGTCGCGCCTGCAGGACCCTTTTTCCCGAGGATGTTGCACAAATTTCCTTTTTTTTTATGCAGCCCGACGGTGAAGGCAGCTGGAACGTCGCCTGAACCGTCGCGCTGTACCATCAGCTGTAGAGAATACAAATCCCAGCAATACATCATACACTGTATGTATATTGTATTGCTGGGATTTGTTGTATTCCTCTATAGCTGGTGGTATATTCGGCATTGCGCTGTATAACCATTATACAGCGCAATGCAGAATACCACCAGCTATAGAGGAATACAACAAATCCCAGCCAGCAAGAATACATTATACAGCGGCGCAATGCACGCAGAATACCACCAGCTATAGAGGAATACAACAAATCCCAGCAAATGCATTATACAGCGCAATGCAGAATACCGCCAGCTATAATGTACTATTATTCAAATATGTGAAGCGGCGCCATCACCCAAGTACACAAATAATATGTGCAAAATCCAAATATTATAGTGAACAATACTATTTGAGAAAAAAATAAATATATATCAATATA